ACAGACATGCCTTTTATGTACGGTATGCTTGCTGTAGTCGTAAGAGTTTCTGTGCTGTTTGTTTTGATAGTAGTAGTAGGTCAGTGAGTGTTTCGTTGGATGAAGTCGTTGTTGTAGTTGTTCTTTGAAAATACACAAGTAAAGGGTATTTGTTCTCATCGGATAAGCTGCCTGTTGTGTTGAATACTAGTTGCGCGCATCATGTTAAAGTTCTAGTAGTTGTGGCTTTGTGGGATGTAGGGTTGTAGGATGACTCGTCTAGTAATCTGTTGGTGTGTGTCAGTTTCCTGCAAACTGTTGTCCGTGGTAAGATGTCATCATGGCTTACCAGACAGTCTAGAAAGGAAGTTTGCCATTTCCTTCAACATCTCTGATAACCTGTAGGTCAGTGTTTTTTCTGTCAAGGCGGTGGTGGAATGCGTCAATTTTGACATGTCGTAAGGCAGTGAATGTGTCATCAATGTAGCATAACCAAAGCGGTATCGTTTGTGGGTAAGTCGAAGGGCCCTTTCGACCTGCCCACAAACGATAATGCTTTGGTTACGCTATGTTGACGAAACCATTCACCGACATACCACACGACAAAATCGACGCATTCCACCACCACCTTCACGGACAAAACACCGACGTACAGTTTACCAGAAAAGTCGAAGAAAATAGCAAACTCCCTTTCTAGACTGTCTCATAGACAGGAAACTGACACACAGGCAGCAGATTACTAGACGAGTCATCCTACAACCCTACATCACACAGAGCCACAATTATCAGAGCTCTAACATGAAGTGCACAACTAGTATGCAACACGACAGATAGCGTATCCAATGAGAACAAAGACCTTCACCGTGTTTTTTCAAAGAACAACTACAATGACGACTTCATCCGATGAAACACTTGCTGACCTACTACTACTACCGAAACAAACGACACTGCAACTCCTACAACCACAGCAACCATACGGTACATAAAATGCATGCCTGAGAACATCTTGCGCATCTTACAACTGTTACAAGGATCGGAATTGTCTAGAAAGTTCGCGAAAGTCAATGTCACGCAATATCTTGTTTCAAAAATTTTCTAGAACTGTAACTCATCAGTTTAAAAATAGAGTTTATTGTAATAGTTATAAATAGTTACTATTGTAATGGTTATAAATAGTTACTTTTGGAAACTTCGAGACTCTCTTAGGATGCTTATATAAACAGCTCGCTAGTCAGTTTGATGCTGTGATTTGGGACTTCGTTCCCTGTTTGCGATCTACAAGCGATACTGTATGACAAGTGACAAGTGAAGGGATTTTCCCGTTCGGATGTGAGACTGACATTCTGCTGTCAAGTCCAGAGTTGTTTACCGTGGAGTGCGATACTGCGCAGGAAGTCTTCCGGAGATTTCGCCAAAGAGAAGGACAGTACTTTGCTTGTGATCAGATAAGTGTAGAGAAGTACATAGTTAATTTTAGTTGCATTGTTCCAAGAGTAGTCGATAGCTCGTGATAAGTTATCTCCCGTTGTTTACAGTTAAATAAATTGTGTTTCGTGGAAATAGCGAGGTGATTATCTTTCTGCCGGTAATCAGTTACCGTAACACAACCCTTCAATATCTGTGTCGCCCACAAACCCATCACCACACTACATCAGTTACTAAACAACATTCAAGACAAGGACAAACCGAGGAACAGACAGGGAGCAATTTATGAGATTAATTGCTCCGACTGCCAAGCCTTGTACATCAGAGAGACTGGCAGAAGCCTTGCAACCAAGACTGACCTAACACAGATGGGCCACAAGGAAAGGTGATGTCAACAATCACATCGCTGAAGATCATTGACTTACGAACCACAATATTGACTGGGACTCTGCACAATGCCTAACCTACCGCACTAACTACTTTCAACAACTGACCCTGGAAAGCTGGTTTACTAAACAGGTGTCAACTAATACCAGCTCCATACAAATGACTCATTCACGACATTAACATTACAAACGAACCAAACAAAATGACCCAACTTTACTGAAGGATTGAAATAGACTAATCACGACAGACTTACACACCACTTGAGTCATACAGCCAATAACATCACGGCAAAACCGACCAATCATTTTACACAAACTGGACTAAGAACATTCTACTGACAACAACTATTCACTTGACTCTGATGATGGCTTCCGCACAGGTTGTCAAAACGTGAGTCACCACCACCACCATCAACAATCCTTCTCAGGAGTACACTCACCCGGACGATCACACTACACTTTCACAGAAATGATATTATCATCTAAAGATCTTTTATTGCTATATTTCTATAGTTTAGTCCTTATTTAGGAGATCCTTAATATAGGTTAACCTCTGGGCTTCCTTTTTCTGAATAACAGTTCTTATTTTAACAGTGCTTGTTATTTTTTAAAAAAAGTATTGTATTATATACACTACCCTTTTCTAACCAAAATGATACCAATCATGTCAGAGGAGAAAGCAGAAAGCATACTTGCCAACAGCTTCTGTAACATTCATGGAAAAGCTAGACGAAGTATTTCCATGGATTCATTCTTGGAGCACGAGACTAATTCTATAATGACAAACTTGGATCTCCTTGGGCCAAATTTCAAAGAAGAGTCTGCTCAGAGAATAGCAAGTCTAATTGGTGTCCATGATGGCATTTTCATTGATAGTAGTGTATATCAACATTGTAAGAAATCAAAAGATGACACCAGACTCAATGCTTTTCTGCACATCCCAGGAAGAGCAGGTTATTACTCCTTTCCAAAAATAAGTGCAAACCTTGTGAATGAAATAGAATATCGAGACTTGTGCAGATGGATACGTACAAGGCTACATGAATAGGCTGACATTAATTTTATGAAAATTAGGTGCTGTGAAGTCACTTCACACTAAAGCAGACAGCATATCACAGTTACAGTTACAACAAAAAAATGGATGGTCATTTGTCACCATGTACTCGAGAGGGGTAAGTTAGTTACTTAAAGTATCACTTAAAAAAACACAGTTGTAAATTTTGAGGATATGACATGGCTTTGTCACTAAATAATTCAACGAAGCAATACATTGACTTATTATCATTACTGCAATGCACTGTTTGTAGATTGTAAACACCTTGTACTTTTTCTTTTGTTTATTGTTCTTTTTGAAATAGCACTACTTGTAGTAACATTTTGCGTGTGCTATGCTTTGTGTCATTTCGTAACATAGCATGTGTTTAAACCGTATTGTTCATTGCAGTTTGTTCAGTTTTACCTAGTATTGCAAGTTTTACTGTATTTTCATTGTACTGCTTCGTGCAGGTTTTCCACCGTCAGGCAGTGACTCTCAGTATCACAAATGCAAGCTTTGTATTATATAAGTATATTTAGCTTAATTTATATTGTAATAGGTTTTCATTCACTATATCCTTTGCAGTTTTAACATTTCATTTTCCTTTGTTTCATTTAATGTATGCCGGCCACTGTCATCAATTGTAGAAATTAAATATTCCGAAACTTGTGTTAAAAATTGTCCTGAAGTTTTCCTTACTTAAGAGTTAGTCGCCCATGGCAGTTATATTGTTCTCATCATAGTTTATAGCATAGAAGTGTACATAGTTCTTTCAATAATAAAAGGTTATAGGTCTCATAGAATCATAATGATAGATATATCTTAACACTCCAAAGACTTTAGCCCAGAACAATCAGCTGAATTAGGAAGACCACTGGCTGATTTTGATGATATTATGGCTTCAAGGATG